TTGGCAAATAGGATGCAGCAAATCATCAAGAAGATTATACACCATGACCAAGTGGGATTCATCCCAGGAATGCAAGGATGGTTCAACACACGTAAATCAATAAATGTAATCCACCATATCAATAAAGCAAAAGTAAGAATCACATGATCATTTCTATAGATGCAGAAAAAGCCTTCGATAAGGTCCAACATTTATTCATGATAAGAACTTTACAGAAAATTGGAATAGATGGTCTTTACTTCAATATAATAAAGCCCATTTATGACAAACCAACAGCCAGCATCATACTAAATGGCCAAAAATTGAAAGCCTTTACTTTAAAATCAGGCACAAGACAAGGATGTCCTTTATTACCACTCCTATTTAATATAGTACTGGAAGTACTAGCCAGAGCAATTAGGCAAGAGAGATAAATAAAAGGGGTAAAGATAGGAAAAGAAGAAGTTAAATTATCATTGTTTGCAGATGACATGATACTCTACATAGAAGACCCCCTAAACTCCATTGAAAGACTCTTAGATACAATAAATAAATTCAGTAATGTTACTGGATACAAAATCAATACTCAGAAATCAATAGCATTCCTACACACGAACAACAAAATCAGAGAGGGAAATAAGAGAAACTACACTCTTCACATTAGCAAGCAAAAAAATGAAATATTTAGGAATTACTCTTATGAAAGAAGTGAAAGACTTATACAGTGAAAATTATAATACACTGAAAAAAGAAATTGAAGATGATCTCAGAAAATGGAAAGACATCCCTTGCTCATGGATAGGAAGAACAAACATTGTGAAAATGGCCATTCTCCCAAAACTGTTATACAGATTCAATGCAATCCCAATAAAAATACCTTCAACATACCTTATGGAACTAGAGAAATCACTCCTAAATTTCATCTGGAACCAGAAGAGACCTAGAATAGCAAAGGCAATTCTAAACAGCAAAGACAAAGCAGGACACATCACAATCCCTGACTTGAAGTTATACTACAAAGCAACAGTAGTAAAATCAACATGGTATTGGAATCAAAACAGAGCCGAAGATCAATGGAATAGATTAGAAGATACAAACACAACTACAAATACACTCAACCACCTTATCTTTGATAAAGGAGCCAAGCAGGTTCACTGGAAGAACGACAGTCTCTTTAACAAATGGTGCTGGAAAAACTGGCTCTCCATTTGCCGAAAACTAAAGCTAGACCCATGTCTATCACCATGTACTAAATTAAAATCTAAATGGGTCAAAGATCTGAATTATTAAAACAGAAACACTAAATCTATTGGAAGACAAATTGGGTAGAAACCTTGAAGACATAGGAGTAGGCAGAGAATTCATGAACAGGACTCAAACCGCACGGGAAATACTTCCCAGAATCAATAACTGGGACCACTTCTTATTAAAAAGTTTCTGCATGTCAAAAGAAATCTCCAGCATAGTGAAAAAAAAACCCACAAACTGGGAAAAGATTTTAGTGAACTCTCTCTCAGACAAGGGACTATTGCCTAAAACATATAAAGAATTAAAAAAAACTCAGACCCCCAAAATTCAAAGATCCAATCCAAAAATGGGCATCTGAGATGAATACACACTTCTCAGATGAAGAAATGCAAATGGCAAATAAATACATGAAAAAATGTTGATCATCATTGGTCATTAGAGAAACGCAAATTAAAACCATACTGAGATACCATCTCACTCCTGAAAGAATGGCCAGGATCAAGAAAACCAACAACAATAAATGCTGGAGAGGCTGTGGGGAAAAAGGAACTCTCCTACACTGTTGGTGGGAGTGTAGACTGGTGCAGCCTTTGTGAAGATCAGTCTGGAGATTTCTCAAAAAGCTGGGATGGAAGTCTCACTTATTCCAGCTATTCCACTTCTAGGCATATTCCCAGAAGAACTGAAAGCATCATACCACAGTGATATATGTGCACCTATGTTTATAGCAGCACAATTTGTAATCGCCAGATCTTGGAAACAACCCAAGTGTCCATCAACTGAGGAATGGATAAAAAAAGTTGCAGTATTTCTATACAATTGAGAGAATTATTCAGCTATAAAGAAGGATCACATTGAGATATTTATCAATAAATGGGCGCAGCTTGAGACCATACTCATAAGTGAAATAAATCAATCTCGCATGTGTGAATACCAAATAGTTTCCCTAATGTAAGTAATGATTCAAATATATAAAAAAAATGTGGTAATCATGATTCCCCATTATGTGGCCTTGAAGCCTTATAAAGTTTTCACTTATTAATTGGAAAGGCTTTATTCTGGACTTCTTGATATGGAAATATTTGAAGCTATAGTATATGAAGTTTTATTCAAATATTTCAAGGAAAAAGACAGACACTATGGTAACTACTGTTAAGTCGGGTTATTTGGTGGTGAAGCACTAGGTTGCTGAAACAGTCATGCTTTGACCTGTATTGTTATATTGTTATGTCCTGTTTTATCTCAATCTCTCCCTTATTCATTAAAAAATTATTTAGTTATTTTTTATGTTTTTTTTAATTAAGGGGAAAAATTTTTAAAAATTAGCAGGTTATATAATAGTAACTTTTTTTGATTTCCTATTAACTTGTTTTGAAGTCCTGTAATACTCCCATGATCTTGTTTTGACTGATTAGACTCTGTTCCATTCTGTATGATAGTATCAAGTTTGAGGGTATAGGCAACTACTTTGAAGGCAATAAGATTCACTAAGATGCCCATTCTGGTTTGACTGTTGTCTCCTTTGGAAGTCCTGTAATGTTTACAATGCTTAAGTTTTATTGGTCTTGTTCTCTACTGTTTTGTTCAACTTTATAATATCTAATGAGATAGACAATTCTTTTTAAGGAAACAAGAGACATTGTTGATAATCATTGTTGATAACCTTGTACTCTGTTTTATATCATGTGCTATGTCTATCCTTGGTTTTGACTGACAGCTTTGTTTTGCCATATTTGACTTTATTCTCCCCCTCCCAAAAAGTAATAAGAACTAAGGAGTAATAAAACCCAAAATGTGTAAATTTTATTGTAAAAAAGAGAGGGAAAAAAGAGCTCTAAAGGATACAACAGCAAGAGTGTTTAGGGGTGTTAAAAAGCTGACCATATTAATGTTTTTGGTTGGATCATTGAACACAACTGTTTGCAGTCTCACTGTTTGAATGTCCACTTTGTATGCTTTGATACTGTGATTTGAGTAACTATCTCTAAGATGATAATATGTAATCTATTAACTGGTGATTTCTTACTGTTTTTTTTTTTTTTTTGTAGTTCTGTATTACTTGTACCCTTACACCGCTTTGTTTTGTTTTGTTTTTTCTCTTTTTCCTTTTAAATAAAATTTTTAAAAAATTATTTTAAAATGATTTTTAAACCCTTTAAACTTCCTTACAGATGGGAAGATGCTTATAAGACAACAGCAGTCAAGGGTAACATCAAGTTACTTAATGGGCTCACAAGAAGTATACACTTGCTATCAGCAAAAATGCCAAAGAACTTCATGTACCAATTTGAGCTAGAAGGTCATAAGTTTATTTTAGGACATACTGAGTTTGAGAATCTACCACCTTCTAAATGAAGATGTTTATTACCCATAATTCATACTCTGCAATTTCAGTTTAATTCTTTTACAAGAATCAAGAATTAAAGAAAATAATTAAATAAACTCGTATATAATCTATATATTTTATTTTTCAATACTTTAGACTTTTTAATTTGTAGTTTTATTAATACATGTTTGAAGTACATAATGATTGCATTCCTAATGGAGAGTTGGTGTATTGTGCATCATACATCTTAATGCTTTTTTCATCACTTATCCTCCCCTCCTTCCACTCTCTCTCTGTGTCTTGTATCCTTTCCTTTCTGCAAAAGATTTATCCCCTTATTGCCTATTATCAATCTGTGTTTCTTTTCTCTCATTGCTAAGACAAAATACATAACAGCCAAAGTTAAGAGAGTAAAGGTTCATTTAGCTCACAGTTTGTGGAAGTTTTAGTCCATAATCAGCTGGCTCAAGGCAGAGTAGCATGGCAGAGGGGCAAAGTTAGCGACAGTGGAAGACAGTAAAAGCAGAAAAGCATAGAGAAAAGATGCTTTCTCTGCCTTATATTGTATGTAGGTTAACCACCTATGGGTGTAGCAAACACACCCACAATTCCAGCATTGGACCATGAATGAATCACAAATTTTAGAAGCCTGCCCCCATGACTGCATGAGATTTTGGGGGAACACCCAGACCCAAACCATAACATTATCTTTTTATTTTGCTTTCAACTATTTATTCATGATTTGGGTTTCTCACATTAGAGAAACCATGTGATATTTGAGCTTATGTGTCTGATTTATATTACAACACCTTATGGCTTCAAAGTGATTTTTGGTCTCAAAGTGCATTTTGGTCTCAATTTTCCTACATATGATGTAAATTTATCATTCATTATGGTACAATAGCCCTCCATTATGTATAAATGCCACTTTTCTTTATCCATTCATCTGTTGATGAATATGGAAGCCATTCCAAGATTTAGCTATTATGAGTGGTGCTTCTGTGAACATGGGTATGGATGTGTCTCTGTACTATGATGTCTTTTAACTCTTTTGGAAAGATAGCTAAAAGAGAAATAGCTGCATTGAATGAAATTTCTAGTTTTAGATTTTTGAAGATAGTCCATTATGATTTCCACAGAAGTTGTATTATTTTACATTCCCACCAACAAAGAAGTCTTCCTTTTTCCTATCAGTTTCACTATTGTTTATTGTTATCTGATTTCTTGATGATATTCTTTTTGTAGCAAGATAGAATCTCAGGGTTAATTTTAGTTTTCCTAATAACTGAAGATGTTGAACACTTTTTCATTTATTTTATTTTAGGTACTGGGAGTCGAACTCAGAATCTTGTGCGTGCCAGACAGGCACTTGTGCCACTGTACTGTATCCCCGGTTCATATTGTTTTTAATATTAACTCACTTATCATCTGTTCTTTTCCTGTTTAGGAATTATTTGGAACTTGTTGCTAAATCCATTCAAGATTGGATCACAAAAGAGGAAGCTCTGTATCAGGAAGCTAAAATGGCTGAGGAACTCATTAGTGCTAAGGGTGAGACAAAATTGAAAATGGCTAGTGGGAAAAATTATTTGTCCCGCAAAGATATTTCTCTCAAAAAATCTAAAAGTAAGTAACCAGTTTAGTTAATACCTAGAATACTTAGTTTAGTTAATACCTAGTTTAGTTAATACCTAGAATACCTAGAATAATTATGCTATTTCTTAACCTAATCAAGACTGCATATTTCAAGATTAAAAAGCCCACAAAATTCCTGTGACACTTCTCTGTCTCTAATAGATGGCTGCATTCCAAACATGATGAAATTGTATCTATGTAGGATAGTGGAATTTGTGTCTTATATTGAGCTTACTACCTCTCAAATCTGGAAACTTTAATCTGCAGATCAAATGTTATGTATTAAGGAAATTATAAATGTCTCTTGGTAGGACTGGTGAATTAAGTATCTAAGATTTATTCACAATGTGTGAAGTTGACTCATAGTTTTGGGGTCTCCATTATACTAATTATGGATTCTGTCGATGAGTTTCCATCAAGACTCTGCTTAGAACAACAAACATAGGGATCCTGAGGCAATCCTCATAGCATAAATACAGAGATAAAGGGGATACGTGGAAGCCTATGGCAGAGACTAGAAAGGACTTCAGATCAATACATATCTTTTGTTGTTGTTAACATTGTTGTTAATGTTCATGGCTTTAGGCCAATAAGTAGAAAAAGAGAAGGTGACAAAGAGAATAGATTTTTAGAAGGATACTTGGTTAATTAAATAAGTGGAACAGTAAGCAGTTTGTCTGAAAAATATAGCTCATCAACTGTGTTCAAAAGAAATGGACTCTGTTAATATTCATTGTTTATGAGAGCCAAAGTTGAAAGTGAGTTTCCATTTTAAAAAACTATATAATATCCATAATTTTTGCAGCCTCTGATAATTACCAGAGGACGTTGTACATGCCTAATTTTAAAGTAAAACAAACTAAATTGAAGAGAAATCATTTGTCAAACCACCAAATGGTTGTATAAACCATAGCTCACCTTTCTAGAGGCTCACAGCACTAAGTACTGAGAAATGGGTGAGACTGTTTAAGAAATAAAGCAAAGGCTGTTGTCTCACGCTTAAATCTGTGGCAACCCATTTTTGCCCCACATGCAAGTCAATTGATAAGTTGGTTTCCTTTTCTTTATAATGCCACTGAACAAATCAAAGCTAAATATATAGAAATCTCTAAAAATCCAGAAATGGTCAGTTTGGTATTGAATGCACCTGGTGGGTGTTGGATTCAGTTGGAGTTTGCTCAAGTCAGAAAAAATGCAAACCTTCCAAACAGAATGGCTAGATAAAAAGATAAGGGCTTTAATACAATGGAAAAGTAAGATGTATACTGTGTGGTCTCAAGGTATTAAATTAAAATCAGGTGCAAGTTTTAGGGGAAGAGATGGAGTTCAATAAAAGCTGCAACATTGCATAACACTATGAACAGAATGCACTGCTCCAGAGACTGTGATAACCTCTTCCCAAAATGGTTGCACTTCAGAGGTCCATTCTGGAGATGGCGTGAAAGAATTCAGAGATGAGGGGCTGGGGATTTAGCTCAGCAGCATAAGTGCCTGCCTGGCAAGTGTGAGGTCATGAATTCAATCCCCAATACCAAAACAAAACAAAACAACAAAAAAAAAAAAATTCAGAGGCAAATGAATTTGACAGCCTTCAAGATTCCTCACTAACTCAGAGTTCTTCTATACTTTCCGGGGAGTGCTAAAAAGTTTAATGTTCTCTGATTATAGGTAACAAAGTAGTGAGCAAAACAGAAGTAACCGATCAAGAAAAAGAGAAAGAGAAAGAAAAGATCTCTTTTATTTTAGAAGGCTCTCTGAAGGTAATCCAAAGAAAAACAAAGCATGCTGATTCAACACAAATCTAAAATTACTTTGTGACAGAAAATAGTGTGAAGTAAAGCAAAAAAAAAAAAAAAAATGGGAAGTGATCTTCTGTGCTAAACCTTCAGGAGTAATTAAAAAGAAAGGATTGTCCATTTACCAACTGTGTCTTTCACCAAATGATGTTTTTCAGAGAATCTGTGACTTTATATTTATATAATCACAAATCAGGGCAGTACGTTGTTCATAGTTGGTGTATTCTTTACATATTTTTAACATTGGTTTATTTTGATTATTTTTAATTACAAAAATAATATATGTTTTCATTATAATTTAAAATTTTGCTGAGCTGGAGCCTAAATTCCTTAGATAAGAAGTATTAAAGTTCTGGAGTGCTCTGTGCTCATATGAGTGCACAGCACTAATACATAGAGGAGCTTGGAGGGGTCTTTTTTTTGTTTGCGATTTAGATTTGGTTGATTTTGGACTTGTATCTCTGTGGAGTTTTGTGTCACCCTTCTATCACCCTAGAGAGTCTGACCTTTTCCAACCCAGAAGCTATGCAAGCCCACTGATTTAGAGGCTTTTAAAGAAGTGTTTATCACATAGATATTTCAGTTACTAACTCAGTCTTCAGCTCCTCTGCCCCACCTGCTAGTTAGAGTGGGTTGTGTGTAAGTGGCAAACTTCTGATTTAGCAGGATTTGATCTCTGTGATAGCCAGCTCCCACTCCCCGCTAAATCTAGGTTTGCTGAGTTGCTTCATTAGCACAAAAGATCACTTATGAAATGCCAAGGGATTTAAGGGCTCTGTGCCAGGATCTAGGAATGAAAATCATGTATGTGGTTCTTATTGTATCATACATAATATCATAGTTTCCATTAATACCAGATTTTACTTATCTGAAAATGGCTTTATTTTGCTCCTATTCATTAAACATTGTTTTCATTTATAAAATTCTTGGTTGACTTTTTTTTATTTCCTGTTAGCATCTTTGAGATACCATACATTCTCTTTGTTGACTTTGTTTCTGTTAGAAAATTATCAGTCTTTTATCTTTTCTAAGTCTGCTATGCCAGTAAATGTTTAGTACTTCTTGAAAAAATGAAATTTACAGATATATGAATACACTTTTATTGTAAATGTCACTGATATATATTGTGTGGTACACAATTTACAAACAATAAAACAATATAGTATTCTGTACTTCATAATATTTGTAAATTCAAATTACCGAAAGACAACATGTATAGCACAAAATTTATAAATAATGTTAAAATGTTTAATACTCATTGCGAACTTAATGATTTTTTAAAATTTCCAATGTCTGAAATATTTTGGATTTAATGCTAAGCTCTTGTATTCTTGACCAATCCACAGTTTACAATTGACAAGTATAACTTTAATGCGAATATTGATTAATATTTTCAATCATATTAACAAGACAAAAGTGAAAGGACAGGATGGCATATCCCATTTGTTTGGCAGTGACATGAGCAGCTTCTGGGCTGAATCAAGTAATAGTTTTTGAATAGTAGATGAATACTTCCACAGGTTTTGTGCTCATTACAGTGTAACAGCTACAACATAGCACACTTTAAATTTAATCTGTACTATTAACATTCTCTCCATCATTTTCTTTGCTATAGATAATCAACAAACAATCAGTGAATTCTGATTTTTACATTTGCTGGTATCTGTAGTATAAATACTCCCACTGTGGCTAATTTCAAATTACCATTGTGGCATCCTAGAATGCTGTGCTGGATATAATGTACAACAGCCTTACCAAATGGAGGAGCTATGAGACTTCTTTCTAGGCTCTTGGTGTCCTAAAAAGAGAGCTAGACACCACACACAGAAGAGGCAGGGAAAGCAGACATTTACTGACGGCAGAAAACACATGTGCTCTGCAGAGTGAGAGCCAGGCAGTGAAAAGGCTCGCGGTGGCCTCAGTGTAAGGGACAGGGGTCTTTTGTGTTTGGATAAGATTCCAAACCCTCCTGGAGTGCTGTCATAGCATTGTTTGACAGCTCATGCTGAGTCATGTCCTCTGTGTTAGCTGCACACATCCCTTCCCTTGTCATAATTCTATCCATGAGATACAACCCATATGGATGAATAGAGAATAAATTTGCTTGTGGTGACATTACTTTCAGCCACATTGAGATGTTTCTGTACCTGCCCCTGAGTTGAGGATTTCCCCAAGAATTGATTTATAGGCTACAACTTTGACTGTGGCTATTATTTGGGGAGTGAGCGAATTAAGTCCTGGGCAGAACCAGGATCCCAATAATTGATGAGGAAGTAGTTTTTGCAGAGATTGATAGGAAGGTATGCTCGAGCCCATGCTAACTACTATTTTAGTTACACATCATGACATAGTGCCGTGCTTCTGTAATATTGATGACACTGATACAAATAACCTCGAGAGCATACATAATAGTGAGATATAGCAAAGAGGTTCTATAACTAATAATGAAGTACAAAAAAGCTATTATGAGCTGGTGAATTTGGGATATTTATTGCCTTTGTTTTAAACATTTTATTCAACTGTACATTCCTATAATTTACTCTTCGATCAGCTGACTCATAAATTCCTAAACATATAACAATAAACAACTTTAAGGCCAATCTGGCCACTACCATTATTTTCTGCTTTGATTCACCGACCTTCCTGAATGCTGGGATTAATGTCTTTCATCAGCTTTGGAATTGTCATAGGCCTTATCTGCTCAGAAGTTCACTACCTTTTCAAAAGTTCCACCTCATTTCCAAAAAGCCATCAAATTCGCTTCGTCTTTGTAGATACTCAGTTCTTTCTTGTATTTTTAATACCTCTTTTTTGTTAATTTACACATAATAAAACATTTCACAGTACTGCTTTCTGTTCTGTTATTTCATTATCCCAAAATCAGTGGTCTTCCCAGATACACTTCCATCTTTGTTTTGTCTTGTTCTTTCTCATGGTGGCTTAGCTCTTCATGTTGTCTGATTTTAATCTGTGAGATCATATCAACTCATAACTTTTTAAAATAAAATTAAAGCAATGTGCATTTTAGTCATGAATTGGTAGGAGGACAGGACTGAGGCCAGGAGTGCTTGGGGAGACACCCACTTGCTACCCCATAACTTAATCCCAGAACCAAGCTAGAATTCTCATCGTCTTTTATGAGAAAAGGTTTATTTCTAGTTCACCCAGTTAAGGTGTCTTTTTTTTTTTTAGTTCCAGGTTTCTTCAGAGGCCTCTGATCTATTCTTCCAGGTTTTGTCTCTAATTTTCATGATCCATTAAGACAAAAATTTGGGCTGTTAGGGTTGATAAAATCTTATCTTCAGTGCCCATATACTACATACAACTTGTGGGATAAGTGCTTTAAGTGCTTTTGCATACCTTTTTCTTTTCTGTCGCTTTAGTTATGCATTGCAATGATTGTTTTTTTTAAAATACTGTATCCATTGTTTTTTTTTTAATTGTGCCAGGAATATTTCTCAGAATATCTAGTCTACTGTATTGCTGATAAACCAACTTTAGGATTTAAATTAAGGATAAATTACATCTGAAGAAAGATAAAAGATAAGGAGACCAGTGAAGGCTAAAGATAATAAAAGCTTGAACTAAAAAACTGCAACAAAGCATAAGAGATGAAGCTGAATTGAAGAGGAATCTCTGACAGGATTTGGGCAGGAAAAATAATCAGGGATGTCTCCAAGGTTCCTAGCTCAGCGTTCTGAGTTATCAGAGCTACCACTTACAAAACTCTTGTCAAAAATTTGCCAAAATGGACCTGAATGGAATACACATTTAATTTTTTTCCAAAAATTTGATAACATCTTTAAAATATATTTACAGGCATGGAAAGAAGAACAAGAACGGTTAGCAGAGGAAGAACGTTTACGGGAAGAAAAGAAAGCAGAAAAGAAGGGTAAAGATGCTGGTAAAAAGAAAGGCCAGGACAAAGCAGAGAAGGAAAGGTCTCTAAAGAAGAAGTCTTCTTCTAAGGAGAGAGTGAAAGAACAACTAGCAATCCCAGAGGCATCTGCAGAGACCCTGCAACAACCAGAACCTGAGCCAGAGTTCCCAGTAAGATCAATCTTCTAAAAAGTCTATCTGGGTTACTCCTACTCTGGGAAAACAAAGATTTTCCATTTTTCATTAGCCCAAACCTGTATTTCACCTTCTTATAGCAAATCTTCCTTTGTAGCCAATCACCAAGGTAGAAACATTCTCAGGTGAATTTTTTTTAATGTCATGAAAGCAAGTTACTCAAGAGTGGAAATTTGGCCAGGCATGGTGGCACAAGCCTGTAAGCCCAGTGTTTGGGAGGCTGAGGCAGGAGGATTGCCATAAGTTCGAGGCCAGCCTGGGCTTACATAGTGAGTTTGAGGCCATCCTAAACTGCATAGAGAGATACCCTGTCTCAAAGAAAAAAATAGATGAGTGGAAATTTGACACAAAAGCAATCATTTAGGTACATGAAAATGGAAATGGCAATAGATCAGTACAAAAATTGGTTTTGTCTCAAATATACACTTGCTGAACACATTTGGCTGCCATTCGTGGCACCAATGTTTCTGGTTTGGACACTTTTATAAAATTTTTTCTTTGATAAGTAGCTATTTAGGAGGAAAACCTAGTGAGAAAAAATAGAAATGTAACAGTATCTACCCTTTAAGGTTAGCACATACAGTATCAGAATCAACTGGAGCTCTCTCAGCAACATTTAGCAAAGTATGTCTTTCACATATGACTTCTGAAAGTATCAAATATCAATATTCTGCAAAATATAAGTTCACTTTAAATAGAAAATTAGCTAATGAATGGTAATTCAATTTCTTCTCCTATTGCTGTAATAATAGTACAGTTTGATGTTTCAATAAGTATGAAACCAGAGAACTCTGAATTCTGCTTGTTGTTGTAACAGTATAGAAGTTTCTAAAGGTTATATGGACTCTGACCTCTAAACCTACAAAACGGTAGAAATTTATTAGAAATTTAATTTATGGTGACTTTAGTTGGTAAAGGTTGATAAGCTGATTTTTGTCAATTGAAGTTCCACACTCAAAGCATGATGTTTTTCTTCTAGTTTCGAGGATACAATATGGGAGATACACCTGTCCAAATCTCAGGATCAAATTATTATCTGTATCCTTCTGATGGAGGGCAGATCGAAGTAGAAAAGACAGCATTTGAAAAAGGTACATTGTAAAACCAAATGGTTAATGGTTTGAAAGATGTCAATGCACCTCAGGTAATCTTGGCACTCTGTACTCTTGCGTGTGACAGATCAAACTGCACATCCACTGCTGCTCATGCATACCCCACATTCAGTATTTTCAGATTTCACAGTCTCCTATTGCCTCTACAAGGTATAGGCCAGCCCGGAATTATGCTTGGACATATTGATATGAACATATCAATTATTAAAATATTTCTACATGATTGGTAAGTAGTACATCAGTAACTGCAATAAGCAAATATGTAATTAATATTAATTTCAATACACATTGTTACCTCATAATGTGAGTTTGCAACATTTTCTGGTCTGGACTCTGAAACACAGAGCTTGAGGTCCTATGGCTGCTATTTTAGCTCTTACTAAGATTTATCTGTGCATACATGGTGTTGAATTTTATGTGGCTCAGACTAAGCAGAGTATTATCATCCTAAATTTATCAATTTGGAAGTGTAACTCAACTAAAATTGAAAAATAAAAGGCTGGACATTTAAAAAGAGATTTTTTTAAAAAGTTGGATAAAAATGAATGAAAGCATTAAAAAAGAATCAGTTATTAGGAAAATAATTACTATAATAGTAATACCTGATACCTGCAACAATAATTATTTTTTAAGTTGCAAAACTCTCTCACATTACCTCACTTGATGAATCATAAAGTTGGTTATAGGCACTATAGCTCTGCCAATTTATCTTGTTTGAGATGCGACTAGAAGGCCTCAAGTATCTTCTCCATCTGCGCTGTTTAAGACATCCTTCGTTTACACGAACATTTCCGGGGCTCCCCTCCCTGGTCTGCATTCTGTGCTGCACAATGCGACCATCTAGGAAAAGGGCTTCGTGTGGCATCCTCCTCATCTGACCATTTTATTCCGTGGTTCTTTGTTAGGCCCAACATTTATCAAAATGAAAGTGAAAAAGGACAAGCATAATTTTATAATTCACCTAAAAGACCCAAAGAGTTTGGTGAAAAAGCAAAGCAAAGAAGAAATTTATTCTTTGGAAAAGAAAGAAGAAAATGATGAGGAACAAAATCTTGAAGCAAGTAAGTAGCTGCATCTTTGTGGTTAATATGTAAGTCATATGTAAGCCCACTCCCCAGCAAAAACACAAGAGGCTGACTTGCATTTGCAGTTTGTTCAGATAATATTTTCATGAGACAGGGTCAGAGAAGGTCAAGATGGAGATCTCAGCTCACCCCACCCACAGAATAGGTTCACTGGATTCTGTCACAGAAAAGTATTTCAGGATGCATCAGTCAGAGGCAGAGATGGTTTATTGGGTGCAGTTAAAGAACTACATACTCAGAAAATAGTTTGTGAGCCCTAAGAGCCCTCAAGTTTCAAGGTGTCAAATTAACAGACATCTATTGTACCTCTTATATCTGATCACATAAAGAACTTCATGTTCTGAAGTTGATATATTTATATGTTTTAGGAGTGTTTTCAAGATGAATAATCTAAGATGTATATTCCTAGTGTTTGTCAGGTTACTTACTGGTAGACTATGTCGTTGAAGTTTAAATAATCAGTGCAATGAACTGCTTCCTTGAGAGTGAAAGTCTATGGAATTTATGAATCTACAGTATGAGAAGAGCAAGCCTAATTTACAGTGAAGCTCATAGGTGCAGTTTACAGGTGGAAGACACAGGGCCAAAGTATCTGTTGGACTCAGGAATTTTCAAGTGAGTTTTATCAAAGGAGAAGGAGGGGGTATTGTAACCTTGGGTAATTTTGTGTCCTGAAGTTACTGTTCTATAAAAGTATAACTTTAAAATATCGATTTTCTTTGTCTCTGTCCTATTATTTCTCCTATTTTATCTCAGAGTCTGAGGTATTTTACCATTCTGCTTGAATACATTTCCCTAGTGTAGTGGAGAAGTACACAACGTACATAGATCATCTCCACTGGGCTGATAAACAGCTTCTGTTGCCTCCAGGCATTCAGCTCTTGATCCAGTTGCCATTAAGGGTCTAGCCAGGCCAGCTGCATTTATGCAGCAACACTTAATTTGTAATGTGCATTCTATCTACAACGTTGGTTTGAGCACTTGCAGTGAACATCGCCTTTAAAGACTCAGGGTCCTCATTAATTCGTTCCTCCTAAAATTTACTTGTTTGCCAATATTCATTTTGATGATGTCTTTCTTCCTATCAGTCAGTTCTCTCTAAAGCACAGATTTTCTAGGTTTCAAGAACAAGAGAAAACCTCACAGATCTAGAGAAATCGCCCCTAAAATTCATCTGGAACCAGAAGAGACCTAGAATAGCAAAGGCAATTCTAAGCAGCCAAGGCAAAGCAGGACACATCACATCACAAAAGTTATACTATAAAGCTACTGTAATAAAATCAACATGCTACTGGAATAAAAACAGCTGAAGATCAATGGAATAGATTAGAAGATACAACAACAGCTACAAACACACTCAACCACCTCATCTTTGATTAAGGGGCCAAACATGTTCACTGGAAGGACAAAAGTCTCTTTAATAAATGGTGCTGGAAAAACTGGCTCTCCATATGCCAAAAACTAAAACTAGACCCATGCCTATCATCATATATTAAACTAAAATATAAATGGATCAAAGATCTGAATATTAAAAGAGAAACACTAAATCTGTTGGAAGACAAAGTAAGTAAAAACCTTGAAGACATAGGGCTAGGTAGAGAATTCACAAACAGGAATCAAACTACATGGGAACTACTCAGAATCCACAGCTGTGATCACTTCTTATTAAAAAATTTCTGCATATCAAAAGAAATCTCCAGTATAGTGAAAAGAAAACCCCCAAACTGGGAAAAAAAACTTAGTGAACTGTCCCTCAGACAAAGGACTTCTGTCTAAAACATATAAAGAATTTTAAGAAATCAGACCCCCAAAATTCAAACACCCAATCCAAAAATGGGCACCTGAGATGAATACACACTTCTCAGTTGAAGAAATACAAATGGCAAATAAATACATGAAAAAATGTTCATCATCATTAGTCATTAGAGAAATGCAAATTAAAACTACACTGAGATTCCATCTCGCTCCAGAAAGAATGGCCAGGATCAAGAAAACTACCAACAACAAATGCTGGAGAGGCTGTAGGGTAAAAGGAACTCTCCTGCACTGTTGGTGGGAGTGTAGACTGGTGCAACCACTGTGGAGGTCAGTCTGGAGATTCCTTAAAAAGCTGGGATTGAAAGTCCCATTCAACCCAGCTATTCCCTATTCCCAGAAGAACTGAAAACATCATACCACAGTGATATATGTGCACCCATGTTTATAACAGCACAATTTGTAATAGCCAGATCTTGGAAACAACCTAAGTGTCCATCAACTGAGAAATGGATAAAAAAGTTGTGGTATTTTTATACAATGGAGTACTACTCAGCTATAAAGAATGATCACATTGAGATATTTATAAATAAATGGGCACAACTTGAGACCATACTCATAAGCAAAATAAACTTACTGTATATTCACCTTAGTGTAAGAAATGGTAAGAGTTGGTGGTAATCATAATTCCCCATTACATTGCTTTGAAGCCTTATAATGGCTGCATTTACTAGCTGGAATGGGTTTATCCTGGTTTGTTTGATTTTATTATCTGTGATTTATCAACAGCTATTTTGAAAAAAACAGGACATTATGGCAGCCACTGCTGATTTAATATTATCTTGCTTTGAAGTCCTACCATGCTTTTACTCTTCTGTTTCCTTTGGTTCTATTATGTTGTCTTATTTGATTGTATTATGTGTGACAGTATAAACAAAGTTTCTATGGAAAATATAGTAGCCATTGTTCATTTTCTGTTATTTGGTTCTGAATGCCCTGTAATTCTTTCATTCTCTTTAATGGCTTTATACTATTTTTCTATGTTTGATGCTATTATATTTGAAGTTATGCTCAACTATTTCAAAGAAAGAGACATTATGGTTGTCACTGTTAATTACGGGTTGTCTTCTGGTAAAATACTGTGTTGCTTACATTGTTTTTTCTGATCTGCTTTGTTATGTCCTGTTTTGTCTTAATCTCTTTAAAATAAAAAAATGGGAACAAAAGAACATGAGGAAAGCATAAATTTGGCTGTGAAAGTCATTACCTGCTTAAAGATGAGAAGTAAGCGTGGATCTCTGTTAATTTAACATTATGAAACTTCCTAATAGCAATGAAAATATCTGGATGACACCACTGCTTCCTGTCTAAAGTTGTATAAGTTATACATGCAAAAGAATGCGACTAAACATTAAAATATTTTCAAGTCCAGTTAGTGACAGGATCAATAGGCAAATCTTTCTTATAAGTTTGGTTACAATGAAATTATACAAGCACAGTGTTTGATAAATATGAAAGTACCCAAGAACTTAGCACATAAAAGTTTAAATTATGTCTCTTTGTTATAGCCGATACCAACTTATATTGATCACTATAAAAATTTTAAAATATAGAAACATTTAAAGAAGATAACTGGAAAGTCAGATTTGGTTATGCACACCAGAAATGCTAGCCCTTGAGAGACTGAGTCTGAATGATAGAGAGTTAGGGCTCATTTTGGGCAACTTATTGACTTCAAGGCCAATTTGGAAAACATAGTGAGACCCTGTCTCAAAACTTAACCAAAAAAAAAAAAAAAAAACAACAGGTAATCATTGTTTATAATTTCACTACCCTGAAAATAACAATTATTCATAGTGTACTTTCCTATTCACTAAATATTCTTTGAAAACAAGATTTTTGAGTCACCAAGAAGCAAGTCCTCCCTGCGAATCAGCACGATGCATGGGCCCCCGGTGGGGAAAGCCAGATGCCAGCCCCACCCACTTCACAGGCTAGGAAACAGCAAAAGCCAATCCTCGCTTTCCTATCATAAGCAACCGGCTGATTCAGAGAAACACAGGCTCAGTGATAGCTATTGAGGTGGATTACAATTCAATGCTTGTAGTGCTTAGTGTTTCACTGACTTTGCAGGTCTAAGCCAGTGCTCTGATCATCTATTCAGAGGATGGTAATATGCAGTATACCTTCTATGGCGGATATCCTTCTGAGGGTGGTGGTCACTGCTGATTCCTTATTGTCTTGTTTTGAGTCCTGTATTATTTTCATTGTTTGTTGGGCTGGGTTTTGTTTGATTTTATTATATACAATTGCATGGGTATAAGATAACAAGATATATTATGGCAACCATTTTGAATTTACTCTTCTTTTGAAGTCCTTTATTGTGCTCATTTGTTTTGTTTTTATTGGTTCTATTCTGTTCTGTTTTGTTTGATCTTTACTATGTCTGAAGGTATCTGCAGCTATTTTGAAGACAGTAGGAGTTATTATGGTAACCACTGTAGATTTCCTATTGTTTTGAAGTCCTTTGTCACTTACATTGGTTTGTTTCAATTGGCTTTGTTCTATTTTGTTTGGTTTGGTTTTATTCTCTTTAAAATAAAAAGGGAAAGATTTTTTAAATTTTAAAATGAAAAAAGAATAAAAACAATGATACAGAATCTCTAAACAAAATAATAGGAAATCAACAACAGTTAATATATTGTGTATTATTACCTTCAATGTAGTTGCATGAAAAAATGATCAGTGAAAGCACAAATCACCTTTGTGATGAGCTAACTTCGATTAGTAGTATAATCATCTATCATATATATATATACATATATATATACATATATATATACATATCATATATATGTAGGTATGTGAATATATACATATATATATATATATATATATATATATATATAATCTTTTCCCTTTTTGCTTTTCTCCTTCCCCCATCACAGTTGTTGTTCTTTCCTTTTGAGCAATTTCTTCCCCTTTAACTTTCACAATATCTGTTGTACATTTTGGGTCTTATTTACCATTTCAGTTTTTTACAGTAGGGAGACAATATGATATTTATGCATGTGAGTCAGATTTATTTCACTTATAAATATGGTCTTAAGTTGCATCCATTTACCTATAAAATGTCTGAAGTTTACCCTTCTTCACATCTTTTCTAACCTAACCCAATTTAGCTATTTTGACCAAAAATGTGCCTCATCTTTTTTACCCAC